AATTGAGGGCCCAACTAGAGCTAGAGATAACTGTTTGATGTTTCTAAAATATATTATACTGATGCGGAACTAAATGAGAATTTCATAAATTGGACATTGTTCAAAACCTTAATTGCATAAAACCTTAATTGCTTCTCTTCAAAAATAATTAAGAAGACTGAAATGTTTTGAGGAACAGGAATTTTTCCTGAGATAGCACAGTTTTTTTGGAAAAAAATTGAGGAGACGCCAATTCTGAAGGAAAAACAATCGCAGGCGGTTCTTTCGATTGAACTTTTCACCTCAGACTTCATAGGGTAGATTCTAAGACAAGTCAAAAAAGTTCGAGAGAACGGTCAAACGTCCAAAAACTTCACTTTTTTCTGCTAGAGGAAAGACATGGCCGCTTATGCAGAAAATAGCTTCAAAATCGGCTTTCTCGATTGAACACTTAGCCTGCGATTTAAAAAGCTAGTTTTCGAGAAGTGTGAAAAAGTTTTAAAAAACGGTACAAAAACCAATTATTAACATTTTGAGGGCCATAACTTTTGTGTTTAAAGATAATAGGCATAGCTAATTTTTCAGAGCTATTTTCCCTAACCCACTGATTCGATAGAGCCAAAGTTTCAGACTTAGGATGGTTTGAGAAAAGACAGAAAAAGTTTTGAGATTGGTCCAAAAAGCTAAAACTTGATTTTCCGAGGTTTATGATTTGTTTCAAAAAATGGGCAGAACCGCATACGAAGAAAATTTTTCGACAAATTTGTCAATCAACCGAGGTAGAGTAGTTTTAAATGTGAGTAGTTTTTTAAAAGATTAGTTTTTTATATGTGGTCGTAGCCTCTCTTGCAGGGAGCTTTTCAAAACTGTTCTATCCATTGAAACCAAAAACTTCGAGAAAACAGAAAACGAAAACAAAAATATGGGTCAAATTTTCCCACAGACTTTTTTGAAGGCTGTAGACAGAGGGGTCTGGTAAAAAAGACTCTAGGAGAGTAAACATGCACACAGGGAAGTAGGCGGCCTTTCATTGATATCCCTTTTCTGAGAATAAGTAGTTTAGGAAAAATAAAAAGAGATGATTTTTTCGTGTTTCCTTTGAAACGACACAAAATTACGTCATTAAGCCGGCAAAAAAACAGAAAAGAAATTGAGCTGATGAATGTTTTTTAGAGATTCGAACCCGAGACCTTTGCCAGCCCAAGTTCATTCGCTACCCTCAGGCCAAGTTGGCCGGGAATGCATATAAGTTTGAGTCAAAATGAACCAAGATACAAGTGATTGAAGTGATTCTGTTAAACAAATTTTAACCCGAAAAAAGTCTATATTCGAGTTTGATAACGCTTGCTTATCGCAAGCGTGAAAAAGAAGAAGGAATATGGCGCAGTTGTGATGTGATAAAAACTTTTTATTTAAAGGTTTGAACCCCATTGGCGGCCAAGATGGTTATATTTTGAAAATTTTGTTTTTTTTTGTTTACTTGAAGAAGTTTTTTGCACATTTTAGCCTGGGTTTTCCAAGTGCAGCTGGTTCGCAACAGTTGAGTTCTATTTGTATTTTAACGTTTGCCTTCTCATCGCTCTTTGCTATACTGAGTTTTTACAAGTCTTCAATTGCTTCAGTTGTCTTCAAATTAATTACTTGTATCTAGAAACTATCTTTAGTACCGAGAGTTGTGATGGATTCAAATAAATAACTGAGTCACGATTTTTTTTTTGGTTTTTTGAGGTATAGATAATATAGGGAAAATTCAGATTTTTTATAAAAATCAAACATGACAGCCATTTTTTTAAAACTATTTTTTGTCAACTTCATTAGCACTACTTGTTGGTAAAACGTTCTTAATATAATGGAGGCAAAAAGTAGATTCCAAAAATTGTTCTTTCTTAGAGTCCTTAAGAGTTTCCTCATCATCTCTTAGGTTATTTTATTTTTCAGATTTTTTTGAAAGATAAAACAATCCCACTTTACTTTAAAAACTTTAGACAATTCCAAAAATTAGGCTGAGCAATTTTTGACATAAGTTCTGAACCACCTGATAAAATTTGTAAAGTTTTCATCTTGTCTGATGGTGGACTTTCTTAATTCAGTGTTGAAAAAATAGTGTTGTATAACCGACAAGAGGATTGCGAGACGTTGGGTTCATAATTGTTTCAAAATTTGTTTTAGAATGACATATCAGTTTTCAAACCTTAGCATCAAAAATAAAAGGAAATTTAGACAATTAAACTTGATATTTTGATCAAAAACAGCTGAGATATTAAGTTTAACTTTCAAAAATTTTAGGAGTCTCTGACACAACTTAAAGTTTTGTGACGACTTGCTCTTAAATATCATGCCTAAAACATACGGCAAAAAGTGCAAAAATGCATGCCTGAACAAAAAAAGGCTAAATTTTTAGGCTTCTATAATTTTGAATTTCAAATACAAATATTGAAATGAGAGTTAGCTAAATTTGAACTCATAGAATTGCATTTGAAAATGAAATTATTCATAACGGATGGCAAAAATTTCTGATGTTAGTAAAAAAGAATAGTAAAAGTTTCAATTGAACAGTCCAAAAAGTAGAAAACTTTCAACAAACCTTCTCCTGCAAAAAACCGAGAAGTTAAATTACAAGTCCTTTTACAATGCTATTTGTTCTTGTTAACAACGATAACAATATATCTCGGATGTCTGCTAAGGCTGCAGTTATAGTCTTTAAAAAGTCTACTCATTTCTCGACAATAATAACCGTCTACTTCTGCTTTGTCACAGTTCGTTCAGGAAAAAACATGGACAGAACAAAGTTGAACAAAGTTTTGTTTTGGACAATTCAAAAAGTTACGGCACAAACTTTGAGATAAATTTTTTCATTTTGTTTTTGTTTCTTAAAAAAACAATGATTCGTGTTCTTCTGGAGCATAGCACAAAAAAGGGTAGTTACTGTTAACAAAAAAAATTTTAAGCTAGTTATTGTCTAAGGTTTTGGACTACCAATTCCATATTTCACCCTTGCAGACAAAAGTATTGACTGAAAAAAAAGTTGTTCTTTTGACAAAAAGAACCACGGCTGTGTACAACCTCTAGTACGTGTGCTTTAGAGTGATATACCACTTTGACCTAATTTTAGTCATTGCTCGGGCTGTCTTAATTGAACTCGAAAAATGCTCTCGGTTTTGAGAAATATTTCTGAGACTTTTCTCGTTTCAGTTCAAATTATACAGCACGAAAATTTATTTATTTTAAATTATTCCAGTGTCCAGAAAATATGTTCCAAATATTTATGCTTCCTTTCAAAAACAATCTTTTCCTACGGATTCAAAGCTCATGACGATTTTACTTCTTTGTTCAAAGAACCCAATCAATTAATTTTGAATAATTTTTTTGTAAGTTTAAATTTAATGCTGCACAAAAACAATGAGATCTCAGCAATCAAGAAGTCTAGAACAGAAAAATTTTTTATATTCTCGATAAAATACATGTTTTGAAACATGGCAGCTAAAAAGTCTATTTCCATTATGATTTTTTAATTGTACAGGATAATTAGATGGAAAAGTAATTCAAAGGCAAAAAGAGAATAGTTAAGAGAATGCAAGTTTTCACAGTTCAGCAAAAAAAGCATCATCACCATGACTACTAGAGATGGCTGCACAAACCATTGCTAATAGCATTTGTATTTATTACTCTTACCATTTGAGCGTGTTTTGTTATCAACAACTGGAGTTTTTCCAAGATACGACTATTCTCAAATGATTTCTAGAAAAATTAGTGCAGTTGATTGTAAAAAGTTATCTACTACAGTGAAGCTGCCCGTTAGTGACATCGTAGATCACATTCTTGAGGCTCAAATGGCCTTGTGTTCAAATCTAGCCCGGGCCCGTGTTTCTGCAAAAAAAATTGTTCAGTATTAATCAATGAATTAATCTGAATTAATCTGAACTAATCAATGGGAAGTATTTGAAAACAAAATCCAAAAATAAAAATTTTTTTTTGGAACTTTCATATACTTTTTTAGTTAATGCTTTCAAAAATTATTTCCAAGGCATCGAAGGACAGTCAGAACAGAACATTTAGGGCTTCGGGCTGATAGGAGCAGTCTTGTTTCCTAATAGGAAGAAAAGAACGAAGTGGATTTTACATTCACAGGTCCTCGTGATTTTATTTTTCAGTTTACATTTTTGATTTTTTAAAAACTTTTGGCTTTTTTTTTACGTTCAGTTCATTTCCTTTGTTAAAAGTAAGGCAAATTTTACTATCAGGCAGCAAAAATGGTATGGTCGGGAAAAATTTACATGACATCTACTTACAAAAAGGATCTTTAATTTTGTTAATTCTCAGCGGATTGAAAAAACACCTTTTGGTCCAGTTATCTAAATAATAAAAGTTGATCGAAACACCTATTCTCTAAATGGAATAACTTTTTAAAATGTTTTAACGTGATGTACTTCCTTCTTTCATCAAAGTTCGATCAATTTTTTAAATTATTATTTTTTTCTGTTTCCTTGTTCTTTTGCATTTTTCTAACATTCTGTTGGCTATGTTGTTTATAATAGTTTCTTATGCGAGACCTTCCATTTGAGGTTATCATAATTTCGTTAAATAGTATGACTAATTCTACGATTATGATTAATTATACTAAAGTATGATTTTTTTTGTTAATTTTTGCTAAATTTTGTTAGTTTTTGTCAGTTGCTTTTGAATTTTCGCTTTTTTCTTCCAACTGTTTCTTTAATATCTGTAATGCAAGAGATGCGAATCTCCCGTTCACCTCTTTGTAAAAAATGCACGTTTTCTTGAAACAAGCTATCGAAAAATGAGGCTCATAGCTTCAGTTTATTGAGTTGATTAAATTGGACAGTTTTCGTGACATTTAAATTTAAACCGATATATTCAACTTCGCATAAAAGCATCATTTTGAGATGGTTGAAAAGAATTGCATGTAGGCCGTATGGTACAGAAAATAAACCTGCGGTCGAATTTGTGGTACTGATCATCGGTTTTTCGTATTTCTAATTTGATCAAATGATACTGTAGCATGACTTTAGTTTATTTTTAGAAGCAGCTCGCTCAAAAGTATATAGTTTTATACCTGTAAGTTTTATGTTTTTCAGTTGATTATTTAAATTCGTTACTAAAAAATGTCCATAAATGATAACGACGATGACGCAGAGATGCCGTTCAGAGTCTTGGAGGAGCTGCGGAAAGTGTCACGTTCACTGGAGACAGAATTTGAGCCCTCGTCACAACGCAAAAAGATTGCTTCCGAGGTGCAAAAACGAATAAAGGAAGGCGAATTTAAGATCAAATCGATGAAGGGCGACTCAAAAACAAAAAAATATACTTTAGAATTGAGCAATTGGGGATACAAAAACGAAAGAAAGTTGATCGAAATCAAAAACCAGTTGCTCAAATTGAAACATGCCGAAAACCCAGAACAAGCTCTGGCTGAAAACATAGTGAAATTTTCAAGTGAGCAGACAAGTTTTGGCCAAAATGGGAAGAAAATCTGCAAACTGAAGACGACAACCGAATTTTCAAACGATGATTTTAAAGTACGACGCATGGTCGTGGAGTCGAAATCTGATAGGCAGAAACGGGAGACTAAAATGGTACTTTTAGTTGGGAGTACTGGCAGCGGGAAAACCTCATTGGTTAATAATATTGTCAACTACGTCTACGGCGTCAGCTTGGAGGATGATTTCCGATTGAAGTTAATTGAAGAGATGGACGAAGAGGAAGAAAAGGATGACAGAGGGGGAGGGCTTCTGGGAGGCACTTGGGCTAAAAGTATGACCTCATGGGTTTCAGGTTACGAACTGAGATGGCAAGAGGGCTTCAGGTAAGATCATTTTAAAATTTTTACAAACTTTCAAAGCCAAGTTTTTCACTGCCAGGTTTAGGACCAAAAATTCAGTCTTTGCGGGATTTATAGTGTAAGCATAGTCCAAACATAGTCTCCAAAAGGTGAAATCAAAGATGTATCAAAGAAGTTCTTAACCTAGTCGCAAAAACTTGAACACAGTTCTGAACAAAACTTGAGCAAAATCACAAAATGTGAGTATAGTCCAACACAAAGATGTGAAACTTGGGAGTAAAATGAGCCCACACACAAAACAAAATAATGATGACTCTAACTGTTTCATGGTACAATCGCCATAATGCCATAATTTTTGCTTTACAACAGAAAATAATTTTTGTAGTTTGTAATTTAGAAGCTAGGAGTCGGTATATTTGGCTGAAATGCTGCAAAATAAGTGAACATGAAAGTACTCGCAAAGTTGATGGGATGTTTTCGCAACTGCACATGAAATTGGTAGACTGAGGTTAACGGAGGTTCAATTCGGTCGCCATAGTAAGTTCGTACAACACAATCCCGACTGTCCCAATGGATATTTTTGGTCTCCACAGTCTGAAAAAATTTCGTTTTGGTCCCCACTGTCTTAACAGAAAATCAGGACATCAACCCATGTTGAAAAAAAAATCTATTTTGATTTTCATACGATTCCGATCAAATATTTGCAAATTACAAATTTTCTGATAATAGATTAGACTATATTCACATAGTCGCCGTTGCCAAAACTATGATGCCTCTCAGTTTTTGGATTCCCGCAATTTAGAACATTAACGTCTCCAAACTTTTAGGGCGTTTTGAAAAACCAGTCAAATATTGGCGGGGCGAACAGCCTTTCAATTGTTTTGACCTACACTAATTCTCTGAAGGCAACGTGAGTAAAAAGAGGCAAAAGGGGGACCGTGATGGAATGTAAGACACCAAATCTTGAGTATCTCATATGAGAAGAGAGAGGGAGAGAGAGAGAGAGAGAGAAAGAGAGAGAGAGAGAGAGAGAGAGAGAGAGAGAGAGAAGTTGAGAGCTTTTATGATGGTTTGTGTCTCTAACAGTAGAACGGATATTCATTACCATAGTCGAACATGGTTCATAAGTAAAAAAAAAACTGGCATTCAAAAAAACATAGGAGATTACTTAGCTGATTGACTGGATCTGATTACTCAGATAATTGAGATTTCTTTTGAAACTGATTTAATTGAATTTTAGTTGTGTCGTTGATTTTTGTAAGCTTTCAATGTTCTGACTAATGTTTTTGTCAATTAAGGGTCTTTTCTTATCGCACTGCGCAAATGTAAACCCGGTTGGACGGCTTTTTCATTGACTATCGTTGGGAAGCAAGATGCAGTATTCCAGCTGTTAACATGTACCTGCTGAGTTTTGATTTTTATTTTTTTTGCTGCATCAATATTCTGGTGACAGACCAACCCGAAATCAATTCGTACTTGATTCGTTTCGTAATGAGACAAGATTCTCGTCCCAAACATTTCCAGTTTTCTTTACCGTTTTTCGCTTCTCTTTCCTCTGATTAAAAATGTTTTTGAATATTGTTTGATATTTCGTATGTAATTCGGTGTGCAATAGTTGCGATCAAAAGGTTACCATGAATCAAAGTTCTGTTCATTTTTCTGTTAGCCTCTAATTCATTACCAAACATTAGGGAATAAAAACTGTTATTTGAGTGAAATGCTAATTGGTTTGATCAAAATTTTTGTTTAAAACGCTCAGATTTATAACTGAATTGAGGCTCGGGGACTAAATCCCCCCAGGATAAAATCCCCCTGGACTAAACCCCAAAAGGACCAATTCCCCTTAGGACAAAAGCCCGCAGTTTTTAGTTTTAAATCCCCCACATTCGAATTGAAAAAAGCGACGCTAAAAGTTGAATTACATGATCGAAGATAACTAACAGAAAAGAAACAGATAGATTAAAGACTAAAATCTAAAAGTACAGCTTAATAACTATGGCTTTGAGATAATTCAACACTTTGCACTTAACGGCAGAGCATACAATTCTTTGTATTTTTCCAAAATTATCCTTTCCTTGAGTGAGTTTTTTTGCCGAGCTGCATTTGATAGAAACTAAATATTCGCAAAGAATGCTGCCTCTGGATGGCTTCAACGAATTTCCATGAGAGCATCCATTCTTAAATGCAGCTCATTTGATTCCGCCGTAACTAAATCCTAGAAAAAAAAACGAGAATAAAAACAAGAGTTCAAGAGTTAAAGTTTGAAAGGTTAAAAAAGCACATCAAAGTTGAAATTGGAACCTCTTTTATTAAATTCATAAAAAATTCACAACAACATGCACTCCTTGCCTGTAAATGTATATTTTTGACCCTGTTCTTCAATTTTTTTATGTAATTTTGCTTCTTTTTCAGGTGTCCCTGGAATCTGTACCTGGTGGATACTCCTGGCTTCGGAGATGACAAGGGTCTGGAGCACGATGATTTCACCATGACCCAAATTCAGACATTCCTAGACCGCAACGAGACATGCATTGTTGATGATCTCGCATCAGTCGCGCTTGTAATTCCTTCCTCGACAACTCAGCTCACGAAAGAAAACGAGTACGTTTTAAATGAAACTTTAAATCTGTTCGCCAAAAACTTGGAGCACAATGTATCTCCAATATTCACCTTTACCGAGGATTTTGAGCTTCCGGCAATTGAAATGTTAACGCGAACCAAAATAGAATGTGCTAAGAACTTCAAAATTGATAACTCAGCGGTTTACGAATGCAAAGACAATTCTTCGGCTGAACTTGCATGGAAATTGAGCTTCCTTTCATTTCGTGCATATTTCGAGCATCTGGAAGGATTGATACCAGTCAGTTTGAAAGACAGTCGATTTGCTTTGCACGAAAGAGATCGGCTTCATTTTGTTCTTGAGGACGTGCGGAAACAGATCCAAAAAATGACAGAGCATCTAATGACAATGGAAAAGATTTTGGATCATGTGGAAGACACCATCGATGCATCCTTGGAAAGCGATGAGTTTAGGATTCGAACCCCTTCCCAGCGGCATGTGATATCGGAAGTTGAACGGATGGCGTTAAACTGCAACATATGTAAGCATACATGTCAACGTAGAGTTTTGTGGTTTGTACCAATTCGCTTTCATGCTGCGTTCAACCGAAAAGGAAAGTGCCGGGTTTGTGACAAAAAGTGCGACAAAAAACACCACGTCATTGAGCCGAAAATCTACGCTCCAGTTACTGGCGAAGAACTTCTACTAGGTGAGCAGCTCTACCAACAATACAGACAATCAGACACTGAGGAAATAAGCAAACAAGTTCTGCTTGAGAGAATGGAAAAAGAGTACAGAAACATGAAGGACGATCTGCAGTACAACATTGCGAGGGTTTCCATCATTTTCAGGAACCTGGAGCAAGTGGCCATGCGAAATGAGAATGTTTCAGAGTTGGAACACATACAGCATTTAATCTCACAGGAGCTGAAATCAGGTATGAAGAGTTGCAATTATCGAATAGACAGAAATGATTAGAAAAAGCAAATACAAGAATTTTCAGAAAAATTTTACATGCAATTTTTTTTTAGATAGGGTTTATGCAATAAAATAGTCTGAAACTCCAAGTTTTCATGTAAATTTTATTAAAATTGTCTGGGATGGCTCCAGGGGCGGATCTAGGATTTTCTCGAGAAAGGGGGCGGATTTTCCGAGCTCTCCCAAAGCACTAAAAAGACCCTGTTTTGGTCAAATTTTTCTGCGCCGCAGGCAAAATTGTGAAAAACAGGCCAAAAAAGGCGTTTTTAGGCACTTTTTGGAAAAATTTAACCAAAACATCGCGTTTTTTTTGGCGCGCGCTCCCCCCTCAAAATTAATATATATTGGCTTCCACATTATCAATGGTCGGATAAATAAATCGAGAATCAATTTTTTCCCAACATGCAGATGAAAATTTTAGCGCATGCCTTAAGAAGTTGATTAAATGGAAAAACGAACTCAACATGATCCAGCAGTTTAAAATTTGGATTTGTTTTATTTTTTATCAAATTTTTTTTGTCCTCACACGAGCTTTTGCTTAAGTTCAACTGTTTTTAATTTTAGGGTTAAGTTGTTCTTATTATTGCAACTTTTTTGTTAGACTTCTACTTGCAATTTGTTTTCAAAAATTTATGCGTTTTTTGTCTGTTTTTTACGGTCGATTATCATCTCAAAATCCTGTATATTTAAAACAATATGTACCGTGTGTTTCTTCCGACGATTCAAAATAGGAATACGCTTTGTTCCTGGATGTGTTTGTTGTTTTCAGTTTTTGCTTCAATACAAAATACAAAACCCAAAAAAAAACATTGGAATAGGTCGACTGATATGTCATTGAAACTTTTTCAGTCATGATTCAAATAGGGAAATAAAAGCATTGACAAGATTTCCCTGTGTCTAGAAAAGTCAGTTGCAAAATTTTTGAGACTTTGTTCAACTTCGAGTGAGTAAAGCGAGCATGTACATCTTATTAAGGACAATTTTCATTTCAATAGTAAAAAAAAATCTTTGTCTTACTATTTGTTAAAAAGTCGGTTTGGCTGCCGTCTAACATCGTAGTGTTTTAAAAAACCTTTCAACTAAATGTTATTTATTTTTACGCTTGTTTCTTTAATAAGTTTCGTAAAGTTTCACCATAATACTTCTGGGACACCCAGTAACCCTGAACAATCCTCAAACTCGACTCAACTCTACGCCGTTCTTCTTCGTGCGTCCGATTTTTTGAAATCTTGTTTGACAGGGTTCGAGTGTGCAAACTGACTGCACACTTAAGGGAATCAAAATCAATTCATAATGTAGTCTTATTTTTGTTCATCATTTTTAATCAAAAGCTCTCCAAAAAAGGATAACTTTTTTTGTAGATGCATCAGTCAGTTATGCACAAAATGTGTATTAAAAAATTGTTTCAAAATCCTTTTTGTTATCCGCATTTCAGATCAATCAGAAGCAGCTAGGGAAGAGCAGCTCAAGTGGCTTCGCATGCAGGAAGAGGTACTCAAATGTGCCTATGTCCTCAAGGGTCAAAATATTATGGACACCGCAGAGCTGCGAGAGCTGGAAACACGAGTGTGCGACAAGCTGAAAGGAAAAGCGAAGAACTCCTGCGCACCAGAAGATGAGAACGGATTTGTTGTTTTGGATGAGCCAAAATAGCATAAAATGAACGCTGACCTGTTTATAATTGTAAATAGTTCGTTTTAACTGAGCTTAACCGTGCTGCATTAGAATTATTTTTAATATGATAAATAGATTAATAAGTTGAAAATGCTACAGAAGAGTTTGTAAATTGAAAAATGAAAATTGACAAGGCAAAGTAGAATAAATTGAAGAATGGTCAAAATTAATTCAGATACTCTGCGTCGAACATAACTTAGTTCGGTTTTAAAAAGCTCCAGTTCGTTCAGTAACAAAATAAGATACAGAAAAAGTTTGATTTTTTTTAACGAAGGCGAACATTATGGAGGAAACTGTCTGTTTTGATGATAGTACTATGACCTATTCACATCCGTTCAAAACCGTAGAGTTACTGGATCGTTGGCAGCAAACCATGTTTCGAGAAGTTTTATAACCACTCGTTCTTTTTCTTAGTCAAGCATCAAGCATACTTATGAAAAACAACATTTAGTGAAAATTGTAGCAAAACGAAATTCTCGGTTGTCGTGTAATAGCACAAAAGGTTCCACCGTTTTTGGAATGATTTTTACTGGGTACTGGGAACTTAGAAGAGAACTTAAAGCAAGCTTAGATAATTAACCATGGCTTTAATTGGATACGTTTTTCAAGTTTTTTTTTCAGTGGAATTAGAATCGTTGAAGTTCTGGCGCCGGGGCAGAGCTTCAAGAAATTTTTACAAATCCGCAGATAATAGTTAATTCGGTCACTCCAAGAAGAAGACAATGTTTCAAGTGTTAATCAAAGAAATGAGTTTTTATTTGTTTTTGAAATATTCTTACTACAAAAGTTTTAAAATTAGCTCATTATCAAATCTTCTTCTAAATAGGCTGAAAATTTTTTCCGAGACTCGGTGTAAAATCTGCAGGTCCTGGGGATTCTATTTTATTATATAAAAAAGTTAAAACTTGGTGTTACCCAAATTATCAAAGGATATCATTCAAAAGCTCTACCTATACACAAGCTTTTTAATAAATGTTATTGAGACATTCCATAAAATTTTTAATAATTTTAACAAATTTGAGCTAAAATGGCCAAACTTTTTTTTCAACTCTATTCGAATAAAATCGAAAATAAAAAAAGTAAAGGTATATTCTATTAAAGTGCGCAATTTATACCTAAATGTTTTACTTTTATCTGTGAAAAGTTATATTTCCCAGGAATTAATTAGTGACTTTTTATTGCTAATTCAGCGCTATTTTTTTCCATCGCTAAATTATCGCTAATTCGCTAATGCAGCGCTAGACTTTCCATCGATAAATTAACGGTAAAACTTTCGTAATTTATAGAAGTTGTCAATAAATAATTGCTAACTAATCGATCAATGATAGCTCGGAATCATCCATGAAAATTTTATTAAAACTGGGCTAGAAATTTTTGTCGGTAATAAATACTGAGAGCAAGAAACAACGGTTGATCAAGAAAAGTAGTTTTTTTTCAGTTTTGCATATGTAGCTCATCAAGTTTCACCTGAGCAGCCTGAAACAGCCTGAAGCTGATACTAAGAGTTAGGCTGATACGACATTGCTGGAGGTTGTTCCAGAGTAAAACTGCATGACAGAAACAAAACAACATCATTTTTATGGAAAATTATCGGCATCAAATGCGCTTTTCATTGACACCTGACGTAAAAAAGCGTATTGGCAAACTACAGACGTCACAACAAAATCACCGCTTCTCAAGTTGAAATCTTTAATTGACCAGAGAACACTTACAAAGTTCACGACAAAATGAAGAATTTATCGCGATCGAAAATTGGCTTTTGAGTTTAATTAAATATTTTAAAAACGGCAAAAATGTATTGTGCTTAAGAGCAAAACAAAACATAGATTGATTGAAAATTGTTTAGCGTTTCAGCAGAAACTCACACAAAATAACCGATTGGTAAAATATCTAAGTGAAAAGAAAACTACATAATTTACGACTGTGTTTGAAGTAACTGACCAAAAAATGTCGGTCGACGCCGAGTTCGAGCAATTTCATCGATTGTTGAAAGAGCATCCGGAAATTTCCATGGAAAATATGTTTGCAAAAATGTCAGCCGGAATTTTAGACTGGCAGACGAAAAGGGTCAATTTGGGACTCATTGGGTCGAAACGACAAGGAAAAAAGACACTGATTCACAGCATGTTCGGTTTACCGAATGCAGAGGAGCCGGACAAAGGTCACGATCTCCATCATCATCATCACCACCACCACGAGGTGAGATGTCTACTGGCGTGTTATTGAGTTTGAACCGCACATGCAAAGTAAAATTAGATCGATACTTTTATTAGGTTGACTTAACATATTTTGCGAGCTCTTTTGAAATACCAAAGACTTTATTTTGACGAAAAGACCCAATTTTGAAGAAGTTTGAAAAATTCAAGTTTTGGGCATGGAAGGCTTTGGCCAAGAAATTTTAATCTCTCAAAATAAAGTTCTATGGGCTCTCAATAAGCCTTTAGAAAAATATAATAGAGCTGGCCGGCCAAATCTATATGTCGTATAACAATAATTTTTTGAATGGCGAGGATGATGAAATCCTGAGAGGCACTTGGACGCAAAAAAAATTTCATTTCCTCGAAAAAATCAAGAATTAATTATCAATTCTTAATCCACTGCTGACTGAACATAACCTCGAAAATCTTCATTGAATGTATTTTCTGTTTGCTGAGTATTTAAAGGTTTTTATTTGTGTTTCCAAGAAAATAGATCACCCTGTGTCATACATACACCCCGAAAACCAGAATATAAAACTCTGGTGCTTGCCGAGAGCAGACGATGAACGAAATGTGGACACTTACACGAGAAGAGTTGAAAGAACAGTCGAGTCACTCGACGCTTATCTCGTTCTTATTCCGAGCACCTTGAACACAGAGTTAAAATACTTGCTCACGTGCCTGAAGAAACTAAACGGCGACCAAAAGCCGGTTTACTTCGTCAAAACAAAAATCGACTCAACGATATCAAAAAAGGTCAAATCGACACGACCCTCGAATGAGGTAAAACGTCGCGTTCGCGAAAACCTCCTGACTGAAATCCAAGGTTTGGGGTTGAAGCGGAAGCCTATCAACTTATTCTTGGTCAATAGCAAGGATCCTTCCTCGCACGATTTTTCAGGGCTGATGCAGAAAATCACGACTGATTTGCCTCATGGCGAAATTAGGACTGCTTGGACAATTTCATTGCGAGCTTGGCGCGGAAATGCAGTTGCCGAGGAAAAATTCAAAATAATGGAAGAGAGAGTTGGCAAAATTGCGTTCAATGCTGCATTTTGTGAACAATTTCAGGGCAACTTGAACAAACAGTTGCCACAAGTCTATACAGACGAGCTAGTTCTCTACGCACAATGTTTCCGACTTAGAAGCGAAGACATCGAACAAATCGGAGAATTGAAACGCGAGGAGAAAGATCACGTCACTAATTTCATAGTGAATGAGGTGGAAAAACGAAGCAAGGATCTGCACTATGCGTTAGCTGGGAAAAAATGGAAGCTGAGTTTAGAGAAAGTGATCGCTTGGCAGAATACGTCAGTCAGTCGAATTGTTGAGGAAAATTCGTTCACGAAGAAGAACGTCAGCATATTCGAGCATTTCCTAAAAGAGGCTTTGCTGTGTGCAAAAGATGTGTCAATCAGAACGATGGAAAAAATTGCAAGCTCAGTATAGCTCGCATCAAGAGCCGTAATCAGTAGCAGCAAAAGTAGTTATCACACAATATCAGCCACAATTAACTCTTTCTGATAGTTTGTACCAACTATAAAATTAGCGGATACATTCCCCAAATCATTTTTAATCGCCACTGTAAATATAAAAATGAAATTCATGTTTCAAAGTTTTAACACAGAGGCGAAGCGGAGCTTCGCACCACTTGCAATACAACACAAACATACGAAGTGGAAAAAAATTAAATGCTGAAAAAAACTAAAAATGAACTAAAATTTTCGTATGTCTCTATAAAAAAAAACAACTAAAGCTGGAGGTACGTGTTTGAAATTGAATGAATTTGCTATACAGAAAAAACTATCAAATTTTCAAAACTTCGACTTGTTTGAAGGTCGTAACTTTTCTTCTTAAACAAACTGGGCATAACCACTAATAAAATTAGGCTTTCAACAACCCGTTGTTTCGATTAAATCAATGATATCAGATTTGGCAGGATAGTTAGCGAGATAAGTCCAAGAAACTGGCAACAAATCAAAACTTTGACATTTCCGAGGATCATAGCCGCTTATGCAGAAAAGATTTATTCAGCCTGTAATTTCGTTTGAACCCAAAATCTTAGATATGGAGGGTAGTTTTCGAGAAAAGTCAAAAGATTCACAAACGGTCAAAAGTCGAATATTTGACTATTCCGAGGGCCATAACTTTGTGAAAGAGAAATTTGGGCGCAGACGCTCATGCAGGGAGTTTTTCGAAAAAAAAAACTTTTTTTCATGGAAGCCAAAAAATTTCCTCAAAACCGATTTGAGAGAAGTAGTTGTCGAGAAAACGAAAAATCAAAAATGTAGGTCAAATATTCCCCGCAGATTTTTTCGAAGGCTGTAGACAAAAGGGGTCAAGTAAAAAAAAACTAGGGGAGTATAGAGGCACTCAGGGGAGTAGTCGGTCTTTCAATTGATAAAACATAAAACCAACTTGAAAAACGCGGGGGTGTTAAAATTTTCTTTCTCTTGAATAAACCCAAAATTAAATCACTAAGCCGACAAAGAAGAGGCCGAAAAATTTTGGGCCGAGGAGTTCTTTCAGCGAAACAAAACAGAAAGGAATACAAAGTCAAGATAAGTAAAATTAACAGTTGTAGGAAACAATAACTTATTAACTCCTACAACTGACTCCTAACAGTTGTAGTCGCTAAAAACTTCAGAAATTTTCTTTATTTGAATAAAACTAAGATTTCATGGCTGAAATTAAGCTTAAAAACAGAGGCGAAGTTGCACTTCGCATAGACAAGCAAAAATATGACCGCTAACGCTACTGGGAAAAACTGAATTAGCAAAACTTTGAGTCTACAAAATTTCTTGTGACGCACGCCAATTATGACGCATTAGCAGTACCAGTCAATTTGATAAAAAAATAAATTTACCAACTAACATGCCTCAATTTATGCCTCAAATGAACTCTGTCAAAATGAACACAGTATATCGCAAAAATATTTGCAACTTAGGTTGGAAAAAAAATAGCTCATACTATAACACAAGCATTACTTGTATTATAAGCTATTGTAAGCCTATACGATCACCTTATTAGCTCGAAATTCGACCAAAAAGTCTGACTGTTAAAATTGTCAAAAATTTGAACAATCACTTCGAACTTAGGATCCAAAAACTGAAATAAGTTTGCTTTTTGCGAGCTTGTGAGATCTTATTTATGAAAACAGCCAACAGGCAATTGCAACAAGTTCGCGAAAAAAATAACATCACGTTAAGACTCTCTCTCCCAATTTCAAGAACTAATTTAAGTTGTTTCACAAAATGATCACAATTGGAGAAAATGGGTCTCAGTAATTTTTTCTACTCCTCTAAAAACCCTAGGAAATTAAACCCGCGTCCAAAACTTTTTTCTTTGCATTTGCAAATTTGAAGACGTAGAGCGTAATATGGCTTCTTGTAGGCAAATGAGTTCGAATTGAGCTTCGATAGATATCAAAAGTCAAACCGTGAATAATCGATTGACTGTGAACAACTTGAGACTATTCAAGAATTCTAAAACAATTTCTAGTTCCCTGGCCAACTAAAGCAATCAAAGACATGCTGATTGATAATAATCAAATTGTTTAAAAGTACAGTGCTCATTTGAAATATCCGTACATATCATAAAAATTAATTTTTTTTCTTTAATTGGGTCAAATTTAGGAAAATAATGATGAGAACAAAAAAGGCTCAGAGACATACAAGAACTGATATGCTGCAAGTTTCTTGCAATATTTGGGCCCAAAATTTAACCCCAAAATGGATCATTTACGAAATTTTGTGTTATTTAAAAATTACACCGAAACTATCGGTTCCATTGCTAGTAGTACTATATGAAAATTAGCATCTTATAAAGTCCAATACAACGTTGAGTCCAATATAAAGTTGGGTTATTTGACAAGAGTTTCTCAAAAAATATATGTAAATTTACAAATAAAAAAAGCTGAATGTTCGAAAATTTTTTTGATTCGTTCTGAAACTTTTATACTTATGAAGGCGCTCAGAAGAATCTAGTTTTAAAAGCTCAAAACTAACTATAATAACCCTGCTGGATCGTTTATTTGCTTGAAATCAGACAAATTCAAAAAAAAATCAAACCGATCATTCTCGACACTTTGATCAGTTTTTTGAATTTTTTTTGTGTTGCATTTGCAGTCGCAACTCGACCTCATCCGACTACCCGGTCGGCACCTAAATTTTGCAAGCGAAAAAGTTCTTCCCATAATTTTTGATTAATTCTACGCAGTTATACGGTAACAATGAAAACACTCTCGCGACCAGATGGGTTCGGTAGTTTAGGGAGAACTTTTCACAGCTGGCCTTAAAAGCACTCGTTCTTTCCTTTGATTATGGCATTGTATTGGCAAAGAGGCGTAGTATTGGAGAAGCTCAGTACAAAACATTGGTGTAAAAAATAGTTTATTGCATTTTAGAGACAAACAAAAAATAAGAAAATTTAAATTAGCAAACTTTGAAAGAACAAAACACAGTATCGCTCTTGGAAATTATACAGTACATCAAATTATAGCAGGAAAAGAGAAAAAGGATGGTCCCCATGTTACGTCAGAGTTAACACAAACAAACAACTAATATCACTTCATAACATGGTCAGCACAGCACAGTATACGGAGGTATACTACTTGGGTGCGCAGCAGTACGTTAACTTCATCGCAGGTTGTTGAATTCGAATTAACAGTATAGATTACTCAATGGATTACAATTAAGTATAAATAAAGTTCGCAGTTACGAAATGTTGGACTGTCTACTACAGGTTTCATTTGATGCTAAAAAAAGTCATTATTGCAAATTTTCAGAATTTTACCATTTTATTAGTTTCCATCTCGATGAATTAGTTTTTAATTACAAACTGATTTGGACTAAAATTACATACGAGCTGGTATTTTTACTTTCTTGGCTTAAATTTTTCAAAAAAATTGCATAACTGCTTGAAACGCTGGAAAAATCCAACGCTGCACCCAATCTTGATTTGAATCTGAGTACAAATCTCATCATCTCAATTTATCGTGATGACCAAACTAAGATCCCCTATCAGCAGCTGGAGAAAGCATGTATAATTGGTTCTAGTTTAGAATTTTAAGCCAATCAGAATCGAGCATGTTACATGCAACACTTAGCCATTTTAATCTGGAATTACATACTGGGGTGGAGGGTTTTAATACGCTCTATCTGGGGATGTTAATTTGATCCTATCATTGTTCCGACCACGTGACTGGGAAGAGTTTGGGTTTGGATTCAGGGTATGATGCAGTTTTCAAACCATTTTCCCTTCGAAAATCAATCAGTTTAAAGCTCTTTTAAAGAAATTTAAAAGATTGGTATTTCCTTTTTTGCACCTTTTGAGTAAACTGGACCATTAAGTGACGGTGTCATTCGGCTGGTAATTCTAAAAATTGAAATCCCCTTGCGGAACTAAGAGTCGTAATTAAAGAGCGTAATTTGACACCCATTCAGCAAATGAAACTTGATCTAACTTAACAAGCAAGCGTGTCTCCATGATCAACTGACACGCAATTTTTTTTTCAAGTTTTTCTACGCAAGCAAATGAAGACAAGAAACTTCGAAATATTTCAAGCTAATCCACGAAGCTGGCGAAAATATTAAGTTTTGTTAAGCAAGCTATTACAGCTAAAAAACACTTTGAAAAATTTCATGAAACGAATCAGTCCGCAAAACTTGAAAAACTTTTTTAATTGAAACTTTTAGTTTTTTGAAACATTTCAAGTTATTTTCATAGAGCAAAACGTCTTTTCCGAGAAACTTACGTTTTCCAACGCAAAACATTCAAGCAATGAAACTTTGCAAATTTTCAAGTTATATCACGAAGGAGATCGGATGGCGAAAAATACTAGTTCTTCAATTGGAGTCAATAAATCGACAAAACTGAAAAATTTCAAATTTTTTCATAGACCGAATCGGTTCGCGAGGAGAGAGTTTTTCTTAAGCAAGCTATTCAAGCGACAAAATTTTGAACTACAAGTTATTTCACTAAGGGAATCGGATGGCTGAAAGTTTTACTTTTCTAATTGGAGCCATTCAACCTCGCGATTCTCTTGCCTTTTGGCCGTACTATACATTCTTAGCTTTGTATGAGAAAGATTCAACTGCTTGCGAGAAGTTTTGACCGATTCCTCCTGACTTCTTAACACTATTGTTGCTTCGAGAAAGTGACCTCTGCACATTTGATTCGCCGAAGATGTGTTGCAAAATAATGTGCAATTCACTCTAAACCACCCTCAGTTCGCAACTCATCGCTTGCAATTGAAAAGTAGAGCTTCTGTGTTAATTCTTCATGGTCGCCAATTATACGACGTGAAGATCATGGATGACGGTGCAGACCAAAGCAACAGAGATGAAGTAACAACGATCAGCGAAAATTGTTCAGCAATAGCCAGATTTTGTCGTGGCATTTGCAAACCTTGGAAAAAATAGATGATCTCTACGAATCTTCATCTTCATGGTATGACGCGTATGTTCAATTCATATTCTCTACTGATCACACACTTCCTTTAGTCAATCAAATTCTTGCCCATAGTCAAGAGTATTATGTTGGGAAAGCAGACGGTAAGTCCAGGAAAAAAGAGGGA